CCAACTGTGTTGCCTAAGCAGAGTGGTGTGGAGATAGGTCAGAGGAGACATCTGAGCCAGCTGGACATAGAAAGATTGAATAAACTCTACAGCTGTGGTAAATTGTGAAACTAAATAATTGTGTGTTTCATTTTATAACGTTACATGTTGAATTGACAGTAAATGTGGCACAAACTACAGACAAAAGCAACCCTGAAATTTCTTTCAGGTCTTATCTTAGGTCAGATACTGCAGTACCTCCTGCCTGACAGGAGTAGTTTGTCTTAACACTGTTGTTATTGTTACCATAACCTAACCCAGGCAAATCTTTGAATCATGGGAGGAAGTGGAGAGACACCACACAAATATGAAATCCTTCAGCTAGTGTATTCAACCCAACACCTTGCTGTGAGCCAACAGTGTTAATCACTACATCACTATGCTGCACAGCAGTCATTTATTTTAAAATACTTTCTTTTCCAGTAATCATTCAAATGTTCATTTGAGCAGTCATATCTCCAGAATACATATGAAGAGTTCGAGAGCTATGAGGGTCCTTTAAAGGTAGTTCTTGTTTATTTGGATTTTATTGGACAGATTCACAGGGGGAATACACATCTTTTGCAAGCACATTAGATTCCCATGACTTCCACATAGGAAGGGCATTAGAGAACAAATACATGACATAACATGTTTTCATTAAAAAACAAAAACAAAAAAAGACACTATACTTTCACAAAAAATTCTATACCCAGCGTATTATTTTATAGATTGGTTCAGAGGGGTAAAGAAAAAATCAATTATTAATCTCAGGAGTTTCCCCTTCAGCTCAAATGCATAATAAATGACATTTTGTGTCTCCCATAATCTCAGTTCAAGATTGAGTGTCATGTCGCCTCCCTGTAAAATGTCTCTTCTATCACAGCCAAACAGGAATAATGTAGCATCATCTTGTGGTTTAATTGTAATTTGCAACGCTGTAATCAGTGGAAGTGATGACACCTGTGGAGATAGTAACATGTATATATCCGAGAGACAAAAGCTTTTACAACTTTTCTTTCTCAAAAGATTCCTTGCTGCCTTCTGCATGTCAACAGGTACATCATAAAAACATACGTACTACAAAGTATGGATTTGTAGCTGAATATTAATAATTAGTGATGGCCAAATGACGCTTTCTGAAGCTTGTATTGAAAAAACGGTTCATTACTCGAAGCTTTTCAACACAGTCCTCTCTGGTGACATCTGCTGGCCAAAAATATGAAGAGCAGCTTGAATCCACAAAAGACACCAAACCAACTGCTTCATAATGATTGCTCACTCTGCAGAGTGGAATTCTGTCTGATATTGGGCTGCCGTTGTTGCTTTGAACGTGTATTTGTTGGTGGTTTAAAAAGTGTTTATTTGTTTAATAAATAATTTTGACCAGTAAACTCTCCTTGTTTAAATGTGCACCATTGTGTGGTCTTTCTTTGCTTATGTCTTCTTGATGTTGGTAAATACAATAATTGAAAAATACCACATTACATATAACATATAATAATGTACAACACATGGAGTATGCTTCTGCTGTGAGGTCCTGCCTCCATGCAATTAACCGCTAGACGGGTGTATTTATAAATAATAGGCATATTTTTGATCTGGGGGTAGAATTGATTGTGAAATGGAAAGGGGAAAATGCTTATGAACTTGCAAATTAAAAACATGATGCATTTAAAGTAGCCCTTTCTCATTTTTATTTAAGAGAATTTGTTCTACTGTGCGATGGCCAAACCTGCTGATTTAAATTTAGCCATTTAAATCAGCTGTAATGGATCAAGAACACCTCTAAAACCTGCAGGACACCAGCCCTCGAGGCCTGGGTTTGGACACCACTGCTCTACAGGTTATTTTTATTTATAATCGGTAACATTTAAAGTGTATTTATGTTTAAAGTTTAACTTTGAGTTGGTGTCCTTTTTTTTTTTTTTTTTTTTTTTTTCTAAAGATACTCATCAGGTTGGATGTTGGTGCAGACTACATGCATGTAGATTTCAGAGTGGATGCGGTATGAAATGTGCAGCAATTCCCCTTATTTTAAGAGTTCTAATATGATATGATAGATTTTTGGATGTGTCTCCTTCAGATTATGCTTTTATTTGTTTTTCTTTTGTTTAAAATTGCACCCACAATGCCACCAGCTCTGCTCCAGACTGGTGATCAGTTAATGCACTTGCACTGTTTTTAGATTTGCTAGAACACAATGATGACTTAAAGAATTTCTAACCCTTCTATTGTGATACAATAGAACCGTGAATACCACCAGCTCAGCTGCAGGTTGGTGTTCATTGAGTGACTTGGATTACTTTACATTAGAATATGAATTCCTTTACTAATTTAATTTTCTTTACTCCTTTGTAAATCCCAGGATGGTTGGTATTGCAGCTCCTCTAAAACAAACTGCCGGAGCAGGCTAAATATCGGGATACTGACGCGCAGCAATAAACAAAAAAATGCACTTCTGAGCCATTTGTTCTGTTTATTCAACCATTACTGTCTTTTTCCTTAAAGGGAAAGAAAATAACCTCAAGGTGAAGCATGGAAACACTCAAAACCTAAAATATGATCCCAGCTCTATAATGCACTACCCGCTGTAAGTTGAAGTCATCCTTATTTCATGATTTCCAATTTTTTTTTTAAGTACTTGAAACAGACTCTGGACCCCCACCCCATCTCTGTCTTGCAGGTCTCACTTCAGTACAAATGGAAATCCAACTGTTGCCTAAGCAAAGTAGTCAAATTTATCTGTGTTGCAATAACTTTTGTTGCCACCATGGTCATCTTCTTATGAACAACAGAAACACTACAGTAGCATCATGCCACATGCAAGAATCAAAAGATGAAATTTGTAAAAGCAGAAGGGGCAAGCAAAAAAGTTTAGAGCGATTCAGGCTCAATATTGACATTTGAAAAGCTGTATATGATGATCAGTCATGACTCGACATCGAGTGATGGAGGTATTGTGGGGAAGTTTGTCCAGTCTGAAAAGGAGACTGTGTAATATGAACATAGACATCCAGTGCTGTATTCTAAAGGTACTTCATATATCCACAACGATCAACAGTAGCAGGCTGAGAGTCTAGTTTGGTCTGTAGGAGGAGCTAAGAGAACAGGAAGCCTGTCGGTATTAAGCTGTGGGTAACGTGATCAGAGAAGAAAGACTTTTGCATCCTACCTTTCATTTATCTGTCAGGAAACAACGGCTTTTAAAGTCAACTCAGTTTAAAGGTAAGCTCAGTAAATTTGACATTTATATTCAATTTTCATCCATTAGTGCATTTTCTTTAAGCAGTGCAGATGAAGACTTTCTTGCATTTTGTCCTTTGCTGCAAACATTGTGAGGAAATATCCTTGCCACTGTTTTTGTTTTGTTTGAGAAGAAGCAATCATATGTTCAAATGTTTTTGAGAGGTTTTCAAAGTCTGGAATGCAGCATAGTCCCCCTTTTAAATAGGAGCCTATTGGTAAGCTGGCATACTGGAGCTTCAGTCGGATCCCTCTTTCTTGGCAGACGGTGGACAAAGTGTCGGTTTTGTTTGGGCGTCTCAGATTTAGCGTGTAAATGCTTTGGATTACACACAAGGTGCTGAGTGTCCAGCCAAGAGATAAACTGTTAAGTGGCAGCTCAACGTTGTTTGAAACCTTTGAACTGTAGTTAAATTTTGCCTAGAAGATGCAAAAAGGATGTGGAAATTTTCCCACTCAAAATCTAGTAATTTTGCTCACAAACTCACTGGTGTGCCTGTGATCAACATGCCAAGCAAATGGATGCTTATATTTTGACGCAGATTTGAGTTGGCACATCTGGCAGCTCCATGTAATCAAACCTGTTCGATATATATGCTCTTTTTTCCATGGTGCCATTTACTGCAATTAGGGTCCCTGGTCCATTAAAACACCCCCAAAGCATTAGGTTCCCACATGACAGTGGGGATGGTCTCCTTGAGGTGGAAGGCTTCTCATTTTTCACACTAAATGAAGGAAACATCATTGTGGACAAACAATGAAATTTTTGTTTCATCTGACCATAACACAGAAGACCAGAAGTCGTCTTCTTTGTCCAGATGACCCTTTACAAAGGCCAGGCGAGCTTTTGTGTGCCTTATCTGGAGAAGTGGCGTCCTTCTTGGTCTGCATTCATGGAACCAAGCAGTGTCAGAGTCCGTTGGAGTGCCTGCCTAGAGACATTGTCACCAGCAGAGCACAGATTCACCAGGATGGCCTTGGTGGTGATTCATTTTCACCTCTCTCACTATCCTCCTCGCCAACACAGGTGTTACTTTTGGCTTCCAACCACGTCCTCTGCAATTTTCCACAGCGTGGAACACCTTGTATTTTTTAATAATACTTTGCACTGTAGCCACTGGAACTTGAAAACATTTAGATATGGCCTTGTAGCCCCTTCCTGACTTGTGAACAGCCACAATGCAAAGCCGCAGGTCCTCCCTGAGCTTCTTTGTCCTAGCCATGACTGTCCACAAGCCAACTGCAGAGAACTGCTCTTTTTCACCTGTTGAGCTGATTAAAACAGCTATTCCCAATTAATCAGGTTATTTAGGATGCTTTAGAACATCTTGGATTTTTTGGAATAATATAGAACTTTGGATTTTCCCAGAGACTGTGAAAGTTTGTAAAGGGTATGAATAATTTTGGACATGACACCTTTTGATCAAATGTAAATAAAACTTTCTGGAAAGCTTAAACTGTTAGGAAAACAGTTCTATTTTTTTTTTTAGGTTCTCTTATGTTTTTGCGATGCATTTGGATGTTGGTTTTTTTTGGATGATATCCGTGCACATATTATGGTCTGCCAATATTTGATAAAGTGATGACTATTTCTTTATCATGCTAAATTTCCTTTTATATCACACCACATCCTCCAATTTTATAAATGCTAAAATGCTAATGTAACTTAGGTTATTAAATTAAGTTACAATAAAATTCTGACGTTATTCTGTTGTATCTATAGTGGGTGATGCTGCATGGCTGCATCCTTGGTGTTCAGACTGCACGACAGAGGCCCCGAGCTGGTGAGGGAGGTGCTTCTGGAGCGAGGCTGGGAGGAGTATAATGAAGGAGAGCGTGAGGAGGAAGACTGGAACCTTTACTGGAGAGGCTCTTTATTTCAGACCTCACAATATCACAACCTGCTGCCGTGGCAACGCCTCAACCACCATCCTAAAACTGTTGGCATCACACGCAAGGTGCACGTCTACATAGATTTTTTTTTTAAGCTTCATGTCATGACAGACGTATTACCAGAAAAAGAAACTGTTCATTTGAATCTCATTCCTACGTCGAGAAATGTAAACGACTCTCGTACAACAAAACTCAGCTCTTGAGCTGTTTAAAATTTTTTGTGTCAGTGCTTGAAATGTTGGAAAAGCACAAAGCATAACTTCTGGGATTCACACATCTGCAACCAGTTCAACTAACAAGCATGATTTTGGACCAGGAAATTCAAACCTAGAACCTTCCTGCAGTGAGGCTCCGTGGTAATTACTCTACCACTGTGCCATCCGGGCAGGAATGCAAAATATTAAAGAAAAAAAATTGTAAATGGATGATTAGTAGACTCTGACTACTTGTACATACGCTCACTTCATCTGAAACTTCAACCAAGTGTAATAGTATGTACATGAGAACAACAAGGAAGAGCATAACAGGTCCGTTAGAAATGTACTTTTTGTCGTTACCCTCTGCTGATTAAACTTTTATCACCAGGGGTCAGCATTATACCAGTGTTTGAGTTTCAGACGTGCTGTTCTCTTTGATATTTCTTATTTTCCCTGCCCTTATTTCCTGAACAGGCTTCGTCTTTTCTGGTGGAAAATGCAATTAACAACATTCTTAATGACTTTCCTTGTTAAATACAGGTTGTATTGATTCACTTTCTCATGATCCTGTGGTGCAAAGTGGTAATCTACTGCCCTTTGACTTCAACTTCTGAAATATCTTCAGCACACCACATAAATGTTTGTGATATAAAGTCAGTGGTTGTCTCTTCACATTCTGTTGATAGTTTTAGTTAATTTGGGAAGATTTTACATCATTTTCAACAAAGTAATTTTTAAAAAGAAAACCTGAATTTATACCAAATGAATTATTTGCATTTCTTTCGGATTTCTTTAGGATTGCTTGGCACGCAACCTGAGGAGAATGAAAGCAACATTTGGTTCAGCTCTCTATGACTTCAGTCCCACCACTTTCATCCTCCCCAATGACTACACCTGCTTCCTGGCTGAGTACAACAGACTGCGTCTGGCCAGAGGAACATCGGTCTACTGGATAGTTAAGCCTGTGGATCTCTCCAGAGGCCGAGGGATCTTCATCTTCGAGGATATTAAAGACTTGGTTTATGATTGCTCTGTTGTCATTCAGAGGTACATTAGCAGCTCTCTGCTGATCTCCGGCTACAAGTTTGACTTGAGGATTTACGTGTGTGTGAAGAGCTTTCATCCGCTGACTGTGTACATTCATCAAGAAGGCCTGGTGCGTTTTGCCACTGAGAAGTTCAACCTGTCATCTCTGCATAACCTGTATGCTCACCTCACTAACACCAGCATCAACAAGTTCGGTCCCTTCTACAAAACTGAAAAAGGAAGAGTGGGTCGGGGATGTAAGTGGACCATGAGCAAATTCAGACATTTTCTCCACAGTCAACAGATCAACGAGCTGCTTCTGTGGCAGAGGATCAACAACATCGTCACTCTGACCCTCCTCGCCATTGCTACATCAGTGCCCTCCTGTCCTAACTGTGTGGAGTTGTTTGGATTTGACATCCTCATAGATGCCAAGTTTAAGCCCTGGCTGCTGGAGGTCAACTACAGCCCTGCACTCACACTGGACTGCCAAGCTGATATTTCAGTGAAGAAAAAGCTAGTCAGTGATGTCATTGATATGATGAACTACACATCGACCGACAGCTTAAGAGACAGAGCTTATCGGAAACATAGGTACAAGCAACCTTGTTTTAAGGCGAACCACCCGTCTGCACCTGTGCTCTCAACGTTAAACCATCAGAAGAAAAAGAGAGGTAACAAGGGCTCGCACACTCAAATTCTCCCTCTGCTAAAAACGTCTCATCAGCCTGAAAAGACAAAACGGGGTAAGCTTAAACAGCGTGACCTTGAAGCCAACTACCAAAGATGCCTTCCGCCTTTTGAATTATCGAAGATACGTGAAGCTAGATGCAGAATAATTAACACCAGTGCTATCAAACTCCACACCAACCAGACCCAAAACCCGATACTGGGCCAGGATTCAAGGACAAATGAGTCAGCGTTGAACAGACAGTCTCGTCAGCCTCTTGTATCGTACCTCATGAACAACGGGTCTCTTTACAGGTCTGATGTTACAAACCATGGCAACTCTGAAACTGAAGCTGAGAGGCAGCACTCAGGAGAGACAGACGTTTCCTCTTTGACACCTGACACCCAGGAGAGTGAGGAAGCGTTCACACGGCCTGCTGCGTCCTGGAAGCTCCCAAACATTTACAGGTACTGTAAATTTGCAAAATGTCAAACGAAGAACAAATCGTTGGTTTTAAAAGTGGAAAGTTTGACCTATTACTATTGCTTAAATTATTTCTGACTTGGAATATTTTACAATTTTGGTGAAAATTGCATTTTTATGCCTTGAAATTCATAAAACTGAAGCCAGTTTGAGAACCTTTAAAATTTTTTAAAAAGGGATGACAATTGACTCTTTTCAAACGTTCACAGCACAAAGCCAGTTCGGATCACTGCGGAGAAAACCACAGGGAATGGACAAAATATTCCACCAGTGAAGGTTGGAGACTTCATAAGGACGTTTCCATTTAACAGGGCTACTCTGAAAGCCTCGCAGCATGAACTGGACATAAGGACAGTCCTACAGGAGATTCAGAGCCTAACTGGACAGTTGGTTTCAGGCAAAGGACACAAGATGAAGAGCAGGAGAGAAGAGAAGGTGACAGCAGATAAGGATGCTGATACTGACTTTGATTCGCTGTTGTGGGGACCAAAAGATCCTCCATTGATCAGCCAATGCTTCAAATCAACTTAACCTGTGGCATACTCTAGCTGGTGTAAATGAATACTCACTTAAACTGCATGGTGCTTTTCTACTGTTTTCTTTAGGGTTGGAGGCTCTGACAGGCTGTTTCTTTTCAGGGTTGGTTAGTTTATTTGACCTAACACATCATTAGTGAGGATCCTACAGCCCTTTGTGTAGCTTGCATCAGAACATATTTCATTTATATGTTAAATATGATCAAATTTGCTGGTAAATTGAGTTTCTTTATATGCTGTAGTCACGGGAACAAGATTAGCTTTCATGTTAGAACACACGACCCACACGAAAACCTGTGGTTGTTAAAGAAACTTTTAGACAAACGTATCTGTGATTGATTGTTTTTATGATTATAAAAAGCGTTATTGGTTAGTAGTGGACTTTGACAGACTCACACGTGAACACACATTTTAATGGGCTGTGAGACAGTGACTCTTTTCTAATTAAAGTAGTTAATGTACACATTTTTGTCGTGTGGCTCTGAAATGTACTGTGGCTCTTTAAGTTGTAACTCCCGTGTTTGAAACTTTGAAAACATCTATTAGAAAGAGGGGATTTGCCATGAACTCTGCTGCTCTCACGCATCTGATCTGGTTCTGCACAAAACTGGTGAAAATGTGGACTTCTACGAAGATCACTAAGGCTCCAAAGGTTCTACAAAGTTGCCAGAAGGACAGGTATATAGCATTAAAGCTGAGTGGAACAGTGGTTAGCACTATTGCCTCACAGCAAGAAGGACCTGAGTTTGACTCTACCATAGGGCTGGGCCATATCATACTGTTCACGATAATACCGGTATAATGTCATGCAACGATAAGAAAATGAAATATCGCGATAGAATATGGGTAAAACGTGCATGCGCAGTGCCTTTGTTTTCATATGCACATGGCGAAAAAGGCACGGCGGCGTATTGTGTGTGTATAACCTCTTTTTAAGTTTTGTGGATATTATACATGGTTATGCTGAGGATATGTCGGCCAATTTCCACTGGAAATGCCTTTTGGTTAAACTGTCAGCAAGGAATTTGCATTTGCACTGTTAAATTTTTATATAACTTTAATGCAAAAAACAGCTGCTTGTTTAAGTGAAAATACATTGATGGTTTTTTGTTTTTTTTTGCACTAATAAAATTGTGGAGTTGTGAAGTATTTTGTGTCAATTATATCGTCAGTTATATCGTTATCGCAAACTTTCAAATGTATATCGTGATAAATATTTTTGGTCATATCGCCCTGCTCTACTCAACCATCTGGCTGGGAACTTTCTGTGTAGAGTTTGCTTGTTGTCATAATAATGAGTTACAACTCAATGCAAAGCTTCAAATATCAGAAGGAAACTGTATGTGTAGGTGATATTTCTCTGGTTTACGCTATAAAGCAGAAAACTATAAATGTTAAGGCCCAGATATGACCCACATCTGCCTTGACTCGCCACGTGACTAACAGTGTGTCTGGTTGCCACAGCTCCACCTTACATATGCTAGCTGTTACATGTGTGTCATGATCAGCTCTACACACAGACTGTATATAAAAGACAGATGCAGCCATCATGAGGTCAATCACTGGGTTAGTTAAACCCCATTTATGAAGCCTTCGGCTGGGTTTTTCACAATCAACTAAGTTTGCTTTTTGAACGCAAACATAATGGACACGGGAGGGGAGGATCTGATGTATTAGTTTGAAACGTTAGCTTAAATGTTAGTCAACTGACGTATTTACACTATGCTGCTGCAATTTAATTTTTTTTTTAAAATCATGTTTTTATGCTCCATGTGAGGAACTAATGCACTTTGGGAAGTAAAAATCAAGTTTGTGCAGCGACTGAACTGGCACAGGGAACATATCAGTTTGCACCACATGAACTTATAATGAGGTCAGTCAGTGCTTTGACATCATCTTTTGTCCTTTCACATAAATTATTGCTGGGGTGCTTAATAACCACTTAACAGTCCTTTATATACCTGGATAATTTGATACTGACAAGATTTGCACTGCAGACACAAAGGTGGACTCTAGAATTTCTGTACAATAGAAACAAGTTGTAAAGGGGGGAAAAACATTAAAACAAGCATATTCAGCAACATGATACACACTTGGAATCTATTATTGCGTATCTCAGTCCATTTCCTGTCTTCCATGGCATGTTAGGCATACTTACTCAAATAATAAATGCTTAATATATTTCTGAGATGTAAAATTGTCTTTCCAGTAAATCTCTCTTTATCAGAGAAAGCGGCATCAGCAGAGGGCAGCGTGGAGAATAGTCATAACAACACAAGTGAGTCCTTCTCTGTCTCTGTAGAGTACATGAATGTCTGAAACGCACCAGTAAAACAGTACCACAGAAGCCACAATGTCATTTGTTCAGTTAATAGCTGGTTAAGAAAAAAGTGACCTCAAAGCACAGCTTGTCTGAGTGGCTATCTACTGTTTTGGTGTTGAGTTTTAGGGTTTGCAATGCCAGGAATAAAAACCACTTGTATGAACTTTCATTTCTTATCTGACATTTAAATACGATTAATACTATGAATTCTTAAATTGTTCCATTTGTTGTTGGGAAAACATGCAAAATGCCTCAGTATGCATGAATTTTACACAAGACACAGACATCAACAAAGATATCTGAACTACAGTCATTTCTCTCTGAAAAAGCACTTGGCGAAGGTGAGAACAGGCACAAAAGCACAATATGTAAGCAGAGAGATGTTACGGCACTGATAATCCCATCATCCTTTTGCTTGCTGAGATCAGAAACTATTTAAAGCCCTGTAGTGTGAGATTCTTTTTAATCTCCTTTTTTGTGAGATGAACGCCTCACAAACGGAGCAGAAAGATCGGCCTTATATGAGTTTGTTGCGGTGCTGATTGTGCAAATGAGTGAATGTGCATGAGCTTTTGATCAGGTGGCTCTAATCAGGTTCAACAATCTGAAGAGGTGAATCTAAAGGTGATTATTGCTTGTGGCTGCTTGTCCATGAAATTCTTTCAGCTCTATGGATAATTCTGACATGCTGCAGATTGTTGCAAATGGTGCTGTTGCACTCGTGCATGTGCACAGTAGATTCAGACCAGTTTAAACTGTGTGGTAACATAAATATCTGTGGTCCAGCAGCCTGCTACGTACTACTCTGCTAATTACTTGTGGTTGTCTGTATATAGTTTCTCTTTCCTGCTTGCTCGACATTCACAATGTGCTGTAATGGGCTCAACCAGATATGTTGATCATGCTGCTGAAGCCTTAATGTGGAATTTTGCCATCCAAAGGAAATCTTTTGAGGCTAATTTATCAAACTTTGAGTGGTTTTTAAAAATTATTTTTTCAAACTGATGCTCTCCGGTCAGCAAGGCATGCTTTTAGAAGGACTTTTGGTTAAATTCATAGTGAGCAGTGAGGATGAGACACAGTTGACAGGTGAAAAATTAAAGAAAGAAACTGAACTTTTGGCCGTATACTGAGCTTTGTATTGCTATAGTTTATGACACTATTTTGTCAGAAAATATTTTATTTCAGATAAGCAACAATAGTTCACAGTTCTGGATACTCAAAAACTGTTTCGAATGTGATACATTTACATCAGACAAAGTCACAGACTGTATTTTACTTCACAGTCTGCTGTATGCCAGTCTGCATTCAGTAGTTGATGGGGCAGTACATAATCTGACCACTAGTCAGCAGTGTGGCATAACAGAGTTTTCTAATTAGGGCAGTTTTCACTCAGCAGCTGCCATTTGATTACAAACTGTCTCTCTGTTTAAACTGCTGCTGAAGAGCCTCCACCTGCTGCCTGTGGACCTGCGCACCCACACACACACACACGCACACACAGAAATACATGCACAGTCACAAGACAAACATACAGTGTAAACTTGTTAAAACATGTACAGGAGCACTGTGTGTGACTCATATGTGGACTTCAAGAAGTACAAGCGTATTTGTAAATGTTTGTGCTGATTTACGCCATGCTGTGTCTAACTGCCGCTTTACGTCACACCGTGAGTACCAGTTTGAATTGCTACAAGGCTGCTGCATCATTTCTTCACTCAGATTTTTGGTGGGTTTTTGAGGTCAGGCCTCTGCAGGCTGCTAATTTTTATTTTCAATCAATAAATGAAATGAAAATTTTATCAAACAATTTTTTATCAAACAATCAAACTGTTTTCTTCTTTTTGTTTCTAAAACCTTACCCATTTCATATCAGTATGGACACCCAACATGATTTTATTTTTCTCATTTAGATCTCATGTGTTTTCAGAGTGTTCCTTTAATTTCTTTGGGGAAGTATGTATTGAGCCAAGATTTAAACATGTGCCTCCAGCTGTTTAGGGTGGATACCAAACCATATCCAAGCCAAACGTCGATCTGTCCAACGTGTTCAGTATCCTGCCTGATCTCTCCTCTCAGTAGGAGGAACACTTGTCAGAAATCTGAATCAGACTGGCTGGCTCTTTTTAACAAAAAGGGTAGTGGTTTTATGCTGAGCCCCTCCTCAATATTACCATTTGGCCAGTGAGTGGTGTCACTTGATGAGTCATGAGAGTGACTCCTTTACAAAAATCAAGTCATTTTTTTAAACTCTCCAACAAGGGAAATGACTGCACAAGAACCAAAACTGTGGTTGTCTTCATGCATGCTCAGTCATCCAACTAAGTAAATCCTAAAAGGTTGATTCTGTTCATCTGGACGTAACGTTTTCAATGGGAAAAATTTTTCATCAGTCATCCAAGGACTTCTTCAGCCTCAGCTGACTGCAGGTTTCCTCAACCTCATAAACAGTAAATTGCACAATAACTGAAACTAGCTCAGTGAATGAACAGTGGGCTGGGAGGTCAGTTCCTTGATCATTAATATGCAAATTGTTATGACCATTGATCAACAGTCACTGATAAAAGCCCATCAATCAATGGCCATTGATCAAGGACCACTGATCAAGGGCCATGAGTACCATTCACAGAGAGTTGGGGAATGGCTGCTATTACAGCATTGTAAGATGGCAA